AAGTGATATTTCTCATTCTGAGTTATTCTTCAATTGTCAAAGAACAAGAAGCAGATCCTACCCATACTCGCTTTTGCAAGCAGTTTAGTTTGGCATTTATAATATCCTGCCAGGAAGATGTTTGAATCACGTGAACATGGTCACCCAACAATGGAGAAAAATATTGGTAGGCAAAAGATCTATGAAACACAGGCAACCAAAAGCAAAACAATCAAGTCCCAATTCTTAAATTCTGTTAAGATTTTTTGCCCCTCAAATGGGAGATAAATGAAGAAAATTGGGGTTTATGACTTACGCATATATGGCAGTATAACTTATAGTATCTGAGAGGTGATCAGAAGTACCAGCTGCTCGCAGATCAGTCCAGGCATCCACATCTATCAAGAACTTCTGGCCAAGCTTCCTTTCTTCTTGCTTCACCCCGTGATACCCGTGGAACTTTAAACCTCTGAGTACAAGCTTGTCTCCCATTATTAACACCTTATGATCTGTATCTGCAGCTGATTGGAATGCAAGGCAATGAAAAGCAATTAAGGTAGACTGTCTTGACGCCAACAAAATTAAATTAGATATGTATTCAAAGCCAATAACAACATAGAATTAGTATCAAGAATTAAAGCATTAATATTTGATTTTTTAAAAACCTTTTTGCACTGCATCAATGAGTCGAGAAATCATCAAATCAACCTTCAATCAGATAAGAAAAAAAACTAACATTTTCGGCCACACCCCTCTTGTCTATTCACAAATTTCTTTTGCTTCTTGCAGATAAAGGAACTACACAAAAAAAAAAAGTAAAAATATACCAATGTCCAAGGATAAATACCTCAGGGATGAAACAAGCAACCCAACCATCTTAAGAAAAATTATCAATAGATAAAAATATAAAATAGAAAAACCAAAAGCTTTTCGGCTGTAAACTTTCTTCAGCAAACACTGCAAAATTTAAAAGACAAAGAAAGAACGCCAAAAAAAAAAAAAAAATAGCGAGTTACATGCACACGGAATTAGCATATATTAAGCAAAACCAGATAATCACTTACAAATGCTGGGTGATGACGTCATCAGTCAAGAAACCGACTGAGCTGCTCACGGCAGCGCCGCCTAGATTATCTACAGTTCAGAAGCCACTACCAATAGCTTTTGCCTGTTTTGTTATTCCTTCCACACTAATTCCACAAAGCCAGGGGAAAAGAAGAAAGGGTTCATAACATTTGGATCCCCATGGACCATCGGCGTAGTCACACTTTGCCCTGTGGAAAAAAAAATTATATATATATATATATATAGACACACGCACGCACTTTGCTCTCCTATCCAAGTAAATGTTACAGTTACACCTTAAAAATGTGTGAAAATTTTCTTTCAACTTTGACCTCAGTATTATTCACACTTTGTTTCTCCCATTAGTGTAAAAAAAAAAAAGGTACACTTTGCTTTAATAGTTAGCAACTCTATATATAATATATTGGACCAGTAGGAAAGTTATAATATAATTTTAATATTTTAAACAAACATATGTTATCCTAAAGCATTATTGATGAAAAGTATCATATATATAGTTCTTCAAAATAAGCTTTCTATAACAATTTTTTACAATATAATTTTTGTAAATTTTTCTCTAGATGGAATTAAAAACATTTATAGTTAAAAATGTAGTATAAATAATTTTGTATGCCATAATATATTTTGAAATATTTAAAATTAACTTTAAAATCTTTAACCTCAAAGAATAAAAAAAAATTAGTTATGTAAGAATTTAATAAATTTGACATTAAACAAAACACATTGACAAAACATTACGAACACAAAATTTAAAAGCACTTGTCAATATAAGTTTATAAAAAAAACAATTACGTACGTTTACTTAATTAATCTAAAAGATATAAATATTTTTTTAATTACAATATTTGTTTTAAGAGTAAGAAAGGGTGTACGTATTTGTTGATATCAAATTTATTAAATTTTTACATAACTCATTTTCTTTTTGAGGTTAAAGATTTTAAAGTTTATTTTACATATTTCAAAAAATATTATGGCAGATGAGATTATTTACAGTACATTTTTTACTATGAAATTTTTAATTATATCTTGAAGAAAACTTAAAAAATACATTGCAAGGAAATATTGACAATAAAATAATTATATAGAAAGTTTGTTTTAAAGAACTATATATATATGGCATTTTTCATCAATAATATTTAAGTGTAAAGTATGTTAGTTTTAAGTGTTATAATTATACTGTAACTTTCTCATCAGTTCAATATAATATATATATATATATATATAGTTGCTAATTATTGAAACAAAGTGTACATTTTCTTAGTTGAAGGGGGCAAAGTAAGGGCAAAGTTGGAAGTAAAATTTTCACATACTTTGAGGGTCTAACATTTAATAGGATATAGGAGATAAAGTGTATACTCCCTCCGTCCCACTTTGATAGTCTTGTTTTCCTTTTTGGTCTGTCCCAAATTGTAGTCCACTTTCCCATTAAGAAATGAAATGATCTTTCAAATTGTCTACAATACCCTTATTAAATATTTTGTTATTAATACATTGTTATTAAATACTAACCCATTACATTGAATACATTGAGCTTTTCCAATGCACTCTTCGTTATTAGCATAAGGGTATTTTAGGAAATTATTAATCTAAATTTATGTTTCCAACCAAATTAATTACACTTTCTTAATCTGTGTGAAAAAAAAATCAAGACTAAGTAAACGGACGGAGGGACTATATTTTTATTGAGGGTGACAAAATGAGACTATTACCATCGTTCATGAGCGCAAAGTGTTATTAACCCAAAAAAGAATTACACACCCAATTCCTATTTTATGTTATTATCACTTTATCCTCTTAACGTTTGGTGCCACTATCAATTTTCTCCTTAACGTAATCTTTTAGTCACTTTACCCCCAAAACTAACGGTCAAAATTAATGGAGTTTGTTAATTAAAGTAAAAAGACATGTTTAACCCTTAAAATTATTATCACTTTACTCCCATAAACTATAGTCTCATTACCAATTTACCCCATAGAGTTATTTTTAGATAATTTATCCTACCATTAATCCAATTTAGTAAGTTAAAAAACTTTAGAAGAAAATACCCTCCTCTTTGGATAATAAAAATAATAAAAAAATGTAGAGTAACTCTTTTCTTTTTTAGTGTCAAGAAAAAAAGTCAAAATATTAATTTATTTTTTATTGGCAATCTTATTAATATAAAAAAAGAATAGAAAGATGACGGAAGGGAGGGGGAGAGAAAGAGAGCTCAATTCTTTTTTTTTTAAAAAATTACAAATAAGAAAGAATTAAATACTTTTATTATTTTAAAATTATTTCACTTCTCTGTTTACTACCAAATTTCAATCCTAATTCCGACAATCTTAATGTAATCCTAATTCACTTTCTTCTTCTTTTCTATCTCTTTTTCTTTTTCTAGTATTAATAAGTGCGAAAAAAATTTGAGAAAACTGTTTTATTTTTATGTTTTTCAATCTCTTAAAGTGAAAAAAAAGAAGAATTACCATTCCAACTTTTTTATTTTTAATTATATATAAGAAGTGTAAATATACTTAAAATTTTTGACCATACTAGTTAGATTAACGATAAGGTAAAATATCTAGAAAATAATGTTAGAAACTAAAATGATTGTATCACTATAACCTAAACGAATAAATTGATAATAATAATATAGTAATGCTATAATATAAAAGAATATTTTTATCCAAAAATTCTTAACATGTTGAGTTGAATTACTTACGGGGATAAAGTGATTAAAAGACAACACGTTATTATAAGAGGAAGAACTCTTCTAGGGAAGTTGAGTTGCCTGGAGCGGACGCCCTAACTGATAACAGAAAGGTGAAAAAATTTTGAAAGCGAAAGAAAGTAAATGTGAAAAAATGACAAAGATTTCCCCTATTTATGGAGAAATGGATACGCGAAACAACTGACTGATATAATACGTCTCATCATGAAAGCCGAAGCGTCGTGAGTAATCATGACGGTTGCATACATTTACTGCCGCCGATCAACTGTGTATCTCAGCAAATAAAGACTAGATTCACTTGGATAAGAATAAATCTGGTCCTAGGGGGACTATTGTACAGGTTATGATGGCCAATTCGTCAAAGTGCTGAGAAAGGGTATGTCTGAACACCATTGGATTTCAAATACATGCATGTGGTTGCTTTCGAAATTAATTTTTAACTTAAAAAAAAAAAAAAAAAACACCATTAGATTAGCTTAGTAATCATAGCGAAGTTCATAGAATTCTTCTTGAGCATAACAATTTGGGGCAGGAAAAGCGTGGAAAGAGAAGGTGGAGGGAGATAAAGGATTAAAAACAAAAATTTAATTTTCTTTAAATAACAAAACCTTAGTTTTTGAAAAATAACCCAAAAAACAACTAATCCAAACGGACTTGTATTTCAAAAACGAAATGCTACAGAATTGTTTTTGAAAAACAACCCAAAAAACAGCTAATCCAAACGGACCCCATAATTATGTAAAAGATTCCAATAATACGCTAAAAAAGGCATAACCCATTGAGTACAAGCCCATTTATTCCCTACGTTGGTGAAGTCACAATTAACAGGGCTAGAACTCCAGAGAGCTAGCTTTCAACTTCCAAGCTGGGAATAGGACAATAGAACCACCCAAAAAACAGGAGGAGCAGGAGGCATACATTTTGTACCACAGAGCACTAAGTAAACAAATTCCATGCAATAGAGGTAAGAGCATAAACTCCCAACACATCGAATTGTATGTGCAAGTTTGCATTATTGTTAAACTGCAGCTGCGGCTCCAAAAAGTAAAACCGATGAGCAAAACAGCAAGCAATTACATAAACAACCAAGGATGACAGCACATATAGGATGTTGTAGAATAGATAATTACAACACGGGAGGGTTGGGTTGGGTTGGGTTGCGTTGGTTTGGGGGGTGGGAAAGATTGCGAGTAGAAGGTACCACCTATGTAACAAGGCATCCCACTGATAAAAAATAATTACGCCATAAATGTTTCAGTAAACAGGCAAGCACGAAAACAAAAGAGGAATACTGAGCTCCATAAAGACAAGGATTCAAAAGTATAATCAATTTCGACAGGAATGTTAACACTACGTCGCTCCCTGACGATCTTCCCACCAGAAACAGGTTAGAATGATGTACAGACATATTTCCGGAGGAATCACCTCTTAAACAAGTAAAAATTTTGTTGGCATATGTACAATGGTTACATTGCTGAGCTCCTCCAATTTGCCCCAAATGAACTTGGAAACCTAGAGGCTGGCACCAAACCTGAGGTAAGATGCTTGAATATGTCTCACTATCCAGTATTCCAACCATATAATTAATGGACATTATTATGTACAGTATCTCAAATTCTCCTGTAGAAGAGAACATAAGCAGATGATGTCTTTGTCTGCTCCTCGCTAATATGGAAAACATTGCTGTCATCAAATTCGTACCACCTATTTTGCCCATGCTGCATCAAGCAACAAAAATTCCAACTGGGATAATAAGTATTTTGGATATTCTTTCGACGAAGGTTTGACCACTTGGGATATAAAAGTTTTTTTTTTTTTTAAGCAGAAATTCAAGTTAGAGAAGGTGAACATGTTTTAATGATCAAATGAGTTCAACTATAGGAAAATGCGCATAAAACTAAACTATGCCTCCTAGAAGCCAAAGGATTCCAACTCCAAAATATGAAGACACAACGACTGAATAAAAAATGAAAAAGAAATATTTAAGCAGAGAAAGCATCAAATAAGAACTGAACATAGATGAAAGAATGCAATTGTCAGCAAAAGGACAGAAAAATCAAGTAACAGTTCTTTATCAAAGTTCTCAACTATTTACTGACGATAACATCTGCCGTTTACTGAAGTTTTCAACAAATCCATTATTGTTCCACCCACAAGTCAATCTATTCTATCTGTTGATGTGAATAAAACACCTCTCTCTATAGGTTTCCTGATATGGACCCCCAAGAAGGCTAACCTCTGAACCAGGGAAGAAGCATTATTTCTATGCATAACTTCAATATCAAAAGTAATAACTATACAATCTTATGATGGCTTTTATATTAGGAGTGTTATTAAACAAGCATTTAATGTTCTTGCTATGATGTACCAAATTAGAAAGTAAAGATCAACTTTTAACAGAGCCTTTAATCCAAACTAAACTCTCGTTCTTCTCAAAGAGTAAATGCATGCTATTATTATTAAGAGAAAAGGATCTAGTCCTTCCAAATAAAAGACAAATAAACTCAAGGGGAGGTCAAAATATTCACAGTCAGTAAGACAGAAGAGGGGAGGTTGATGAAGACGTATCCAGTTCAAATAACTCATTCAGCATAGAAAAGAAAGATGAGACACTGGATTTTACATCAACAGAATGTCTTCAACCGAAAAAAAAAAAAAAAATCCCACAGCTTCTGTGCAACACTTGGTATCCAGTAATTATGTATAAAAGGTTATGAAAACCACATAGAATGGACACGAACTGCATCTTCAGTTCTAACTAATAAAAAAGACATCCAACTTGATATCTTTTCATCAAGTCCCTTTGCTAGTGGGATACAAATAAAAGAGAGAGAAAACACATCATTTAGGTTAGTCATGCAGACATCTCTATGTCATAAAGACCAGAGACTCTCCCCCCCCCCCCAACCCACAAAACAAGCAGAGAGGGGTGGGATTTAAGAAGTGGGGACGGGAAGGAGGGATTTGAACACAAGACCTCTAAATCCTAGGGAAAATGTCCAATTAAAAATAAAGACCAGAGACGTTCTTGTTTCCCAAACAATACTAATCTCCATTTCTAAATTCCTTGTACATCAGAAACCTTTGTCAAGTTAATTCTAAGATTAAATTCCAATGATCTCCCTCATCTATTTCCTTGAAGAAGGTAACTTGAAAATTTTACAGCATCCTTAATTCAAAGGTGGTTTTTGTAACGTCTTTCAGAAGTCTCAAGGTGAGATCAATCACCCCACAGCTTATCTACAAAAAAAGAACATAATTAAAGAAAGCCAAAAAGAACTTACTTGAATGAATGCAGTATAATGACCACTCCCCATGCCACCTTGGTGATTACTTACAGCATAAAGCATGTAATGGTGCGACATATGGATATTTTTGTGAGCCATGTAATTTGATAGATCAAAATCATTTATAGGAAAGTCAACAAATGTTTCTAGCTTGTTTCTGAAATATCGGTTGTATGAGAACCTCTTTAAATGAATAACCAGTATCTCTGGCAATCGCCACAGATCTAACTTTTTGCTGGCTTGCCTGTGAGTTTTGCAACTGGGACAGTACCTAAATAAGTTGACAATACCACAAGGCAGTGAGACCAAAAAAAGCAATTTCTGCAGGGAATGGGAAACATTGCTCATGAGAAAGTAAAGCTAATACAGTTTTACTTTGTATAAGCTATCAAAAAAGTCTACAAGCAAAAATGCTAACAATAGCATCACATTTGCAAGTTGAATACATAAAGCAAAAGAAACTCAAGACACGCACCACATGTCTTCTGGTCCAAGTGGTTCCTCCTTCAAGAAGGCGTCAAGGCATTTATATAGGGAAACAGATTCCTGATACTTTCTTGAGAAGAGTGTAGATTTATGGACTTCTGGTAAAACACTCATAAGGGAAGTGTCATACACTTCCAGCATTTTTTTGGGCCAGGAAACAAACACATTCACAATGCCAGAAGACACTGATATTGGCCTCGGGTTATTCATTTCTATCTTATACTCTTTCCAACAAGATTCATTCAGATAAAACTGAAAGTCACAGCTGTCAATCTCAGATTCAGGCTCTATGTCTGCATCTTCATCCAGAATTGACTCTATCTTACCATCTCCATTAGTGTCAATCCCTTTACAATCATAGTCATTTGACAATTCTTCTGCAGGCATTACAAATGGGTTAAGCAGCTTTAGGAATTCTTTGCGTATCTCAGAACCTTCAGAAAAATTAGATACCCTTGACAGGAGAGGCACACCAAATTTCTTGCAATATATGTATCCAGTAAATTCTGACCTGAATCAAACATGTTATAGAAGATACAGATTAGTCCAGAAGTTTATACGTCCATCCCCCATCCCCACCGCCATGATAAGTCTTAAGTAAAGGTGGAAAGCTAACAAATCAGTGCCAAATATGCTTTCCTGAAATTATCACCAAACTCAAAACTCAAAACTCAAGCTCATTAGATCTCGTCATATAAATTAAATCCTTAACCTTTTGGAACCTACAAAGTGCATGAAAGAATAAATCATCCAACAAGACACATAAAAGTTCGGACTGTCTTTGATTTTGAAAAATAAATGCTCTACTTTCAAGGGGACAAAACAAATGAATTCAGCCACCTAACACTTGTGAAGAATTGTTGAGGAAGCAACAAGTAAATTTGACAATGGATGTTACTATTATAAGTACTGGCTGCTTAACTCACAAAGATAGTACAATACCATATGCCGTGTGATAAGTGCTTGCCAGGAAGAGAGAGAGAGAGATCAGACAAACAAGAATTTGGCCACAGACTTAAAAGAAAAACTGACAGCTATCACATCGTGGAAAAACCTTCTCAGAAACATAGAATTTTCAAAAGACAGCAACCTTGGAAGCTAGAGCTGATTCCAGCAACAGTAACATAGATTGGATGAAAGCTGCCAACACTTACTTTTCTTCACGTAGATGTCGGAACACGAACAAAGGAGATCTTTGACTTTCTTTCAGCATTCTATAAGCGACAAGATGAGCCTGATCTCTAATCAGGTCTATTTTACCAGATGGCTCCTCTAGATAACCAAGAACGCTACCATCAAATACCTGCAGATGACCCCACATGTCAAGGTGTAAATTCTCCATTTCACAAAATCATACAAGCAACATGATGGGCGGGGCAACAATATCCTAGACATGTTAGTTTCACCATGAATAATTTGAATGAAAGACATTTGAGGTTCTTCGAATTAGATGCTTAAGGTCAAGTGAACTATCATAATGGAGCAAAAGGAACAGCCTAATTGTGTAATATTCAGCTTGATTTACAAAGTTGAAAAGAACAATAAGGTCAGACAATATAACTACCATTGCCCGTGGCTTGTTAATGGTTTTATCCAGCTTTATGCCATGGATTACACAAGATATTTGCAGAGTAAAATCATAAATAGTAGAATCGAACTGGTAAAGAAAGCTTGGGTTGCCAACTCAGCCGGAATACATGATAGATAGAAAAGCACCAATTAATCAACTATACTTTGAAAAAGTTACCTCAGCAATTAACAGCGTCTCATCATCTCGTAAACAGCAAGCCACACTCAAGGCCTCAACCAGATCACTCAAAGTCCCATCTCTGGGCACAGCAACTGTGACTGGCAAAGGCAAAGTGATACCATCGGTGCTGAAAATAGTCAAAGTCATTTTTCTCATTGTTGTAGAAGGAAGTGGTAATGACAGGTACATAAATGGATCAAATGTAATGGATAACTTCTTGCAAACAGGGCAAACCAATGTTGACCGGTACTGACCCTACAACACAATAAACAAAATTAATTACTCACATAAGCGAATTAGCAAATTATAGTGCCACTCCTTTGATGAGGTAAATCTTCCTAAAAGACTGTCTTTCATCTACATTATCACAAAAATGTGAGCCCATTAAAATTCATCGTAAAACAAGAATGTTTGTAAAGTTGGATGCACTTAAAAGTTAAAACTTGCAAAGATAACGGCATGGGTCATCAAAGACATTGGTAACAGATGAGGAATGCTCACTTGGCACAGATCAACAATGATAGAGTCATTGCGAGCAAGATGATTCCGCCAATGTTCATCTGCAACTTCTTCATCTAAGTGTCCATCTACATCCTTCACTTCAACATAAGGCTTATGCTTTACACGATCGAGATCTTCATGAAGCCCATCCAACAAAAAAGCAAGAAACTCCTACATGGCAGTAGACAAATAATGCAACATTTTCCATGATTGATTTTTAATACTGTACAAAATGGCATCTATGACATCCACAAAACTACAGAACTCCCTTTTATGAATGTTACTGTGGAATAGAAAATTGCATGGAAAAAGAAAACCTTAAAAACAATACACATTCTTCACTGACTTGAGCATCATGCTGACTATATCCGCCGAACTGAGGAGCAAAACCAGCAATCACAGACTTAAATATCCTTGGAGCCACTGGTGTTGCTCCTGGAGCCCATAGCTTCCTCAACAATTCTCCAAAAGTTAATGCTAGCTTACCCTGATGAAGTGGTCCAAATTAGTAAAAACTTTATCAATATGGACACATTTATGAGAGAAAGCGAGTTTAAACAACTTTACTGGAGATTAAAAAAGGTACAAGAAAACCAAAAAGAAAATGTAAAACATCATTAATACTTACATTCATGCCTAAAGGATTTTCGAAATTAAGATCTTTTCGGAAGTCTCCAAGGAAATAATCAACCAGCTCCCTTGTATGCACAAGACACTGGAGGGCACTGTTCATAAAACAAGTGTTCCCCAGATTATATAATCCAGTCAAGCCCAAAGCACAAGCATTACTATAGCTACCATCAAGGGGAGGCGACTGCTTGAATCTGGAGAATAGCTCATCATCCATACTCCCATTCATCGTCATTGTACCACTGATAGGAGGAGCTTCAATCTTGCATTGGTCAGTAATCATTTTCTCTCTTTTATTGTCTCTAGCCTCAGCAACCCCATAAACTTGCAACTCCAAAATCATCTGTAATAAGCAATTCCAAAGAATGAAAAGGAATATACAGTTAAAAGTCAAATCTATGCGAAGTATAACATGTTAAATAAGCCATCAACTCCATAAAACAAATAATCACAACTAATATAATGTTTTGAATTATTATGATCAAGTAAATAAAATGCTCCTCTTAACAGCTAAATGTCTCATGTGAAAAGTAATTCAAAATGTTAATGGTAGACTATCCATTCCAACGCTGTCCGATATAATCACTAAGAAGCCTATACGCAAACATTGAAGAAAACCAATACCAAATCAGTAATCGTACGGGCTTTATTTCTTCTGGAAACTAGAAGTGTACCTAATCAAAACTCCAATCCACAGAACAACCCAAAAAGAAAAATGAAATTCACAGTGACACAAGCATATCTGCATTTTGCTGTTTCATATTCTATGCATTCAATGGCAATTTTAAGAACAGAGTCAACTTGATTGTACGTACTCATGTCTCTAAGAATTAGGATCATGTAGATCAACATTTTCACATTTAGTCAACTAGGATGTAGGCCATATAAGGCTTACAATGATTACAAATAAAGAAGAGAAGTAAGTATCTACTTACCTCCTCACGAGGCTGATCAAAATCACTGAGTAGCTTCCTGTCATCCATGAAAAACTGGTTTGTCTGTCCGGAAAAGTCCCAAATTTCCAACTGCACAACAGATGAAAGAGATCAATTTGTCTCCAGTTCTTCCTTTCTTTCTTATACAAAAAGGAGATGGAGCACGATGTGGGCTACTAAAACATTACTCAACTTACCATGCCGGAATCAACACAAAAAATACTGCAAGCTCGATCAAAATCTCTAAGCTCATTGTCCTTGAAAATGTATGGAAAACTTGTCAGATAAAGAAAGCAAGAAACCACCAAGACAAATCAGTTTGTACTATCTGCATATAGAAGAGATCCAAAAGCATGAGACAAATCATACTAATCACGTCACTCTTCTAAAGCATGAAACTATCCCCTTACAACTGAAAATCAAGCTTTCGTTCAGTCCCTTCATGCTCTTTTTGCACATATGAACATATTATTCATAAACTTTTACAAAGCAAACTAAGAAAGTTCTTAACCAAGTGGCAGAAAGGTAATAAATTTATGGTAATTAACAGAGGAAGACAACTTCCTACATGATAGACTTTCACACTTACTATCACGTAAACTAAGTAGCAAACCATTTAATTCGTTGGTTGGCTGAACATAAATTCTGATTAAAGAACAGTGCTATATCTTTACCATTTAGAAATCCCAGAATTTGAAAGCTTAAGCTCCATGGAACACTATCTTACTGTTGAAACACTAAAAAATTCAAATTGCAGATAGAAACACAATGTAGAAACAATATGATTTTCCCAGACAATTATTAATGATTTATGCAGCTGAGAGCCATCACAGATAGAGCTGTCACAAATAGGCAGAATGATGCAATTATCTGGGCCACAATGTATAACTGAGCTAAGAGCAAATCGTGCGAGCCTCCAGTGCAGCTCGCTATGCCAAAAGTGAGAGAAACCCTAACCCTCATTTTGCTCTTAGAATATGAAATAATTGAATTCTATGTAGTTATGGTTGTTAATACTTTAATATTGTGGCAATTAGAATTAATGAGACAAATCAACGCTATACCCATTCTCTAGATCCTAAGCCATTTTACATATTCATAAAGCACAATACATGAACCGGGCTCGTACTTCTCTCCGTCTCTTTCTGCGCAAGTAGATCAGTAACTCAGCTCTCAAGAACTTTAATCAAATTTCTTTTATGCTTGACCAGAATTGAAGTTCAATCACTAGTTGGCAATGAACCACTAACAAGAGGGCAACAATCACAACTTAACAGGGTAGAGAGATGCCAAGGAAAAGGAGGATTGTCTTGAAACCTTTCGGTTTATCCTTATTATGAGTGAATCTGTTTTGCACGAAAAGGAAAGTCGGATTTGTAAAGAGAACAAGTCCTGTATAATATCTGCTGCCGCTAAAAAAGCTCCCACATCCTTAGTATCATTATGCCTACAAGGAAGAATGAAACAGATAAAACGTCAATGGTACGGTACATGAATTTCCTCATGACACTAGTCCAAACACACAACTTTTTGAAAACGGGCATCGTCAGATTACAGATATATCAAGAAATCGGAAGTCAATTTATTTACTCACTTTCTAAAGGTGAGGTTTATGCCGCTCACATACTAATATTCTACTCACGAACGATTAAAGAACCGTCAAGATTTTTACAGGGACATTTATTACTACACGGATTTCTGATGGCTTTAAAGAAGCCTTTGTCGGTTACTAATGATAATTAGTTATGGCAACTCAGTAAATTCATCCATGATTAATTCGGGAGTGGCAAAATACAGAAGAAAAGTAACTGCAAAAGCATGCAAAAGACATAAAGAGAGTGAAATTAAATAAGTATTTCACCATCTAAAAGCTCTCAAGAACATCCATTCAGAAATCAAAGCAAGACTAAGATCACTGGTGCCGCTGCAGCTGCCAGAAACGCCCTCTCCTTGGGCGGTGCCGGTCTCCCCAACTCTCGTCATGTCAAGGACAATCTCGGACTCCACCTCCGACAAGAAATCATCCATCTCAAGCTCCTTATTACTCAAACGCGACGTCACATTATACAAAACTCCCTTATTCTCCCCACAGCCGCCACCGCCGCCATACAACGCCGCATTCGCGTCAGTCCACCACCTACATAAAAAAAAAGAGTCAAATAGTAAAAGAAAAAAAAGTAAGAAAAGGAGGAGGAGGCGGCGGCGGCGGGAGCGAAGTGAAGAAAAAAGTACCTGAGGGGAACTAAGAAGAGGGGTTCAGGGGAGGAGGAAGGAGAGGAGTAATCGGAAGACAAAACGTCGTCGGCGAAAGAAGGGGAGGGGGAAGAGAGGGAGAATAAAAAGGAGGAATCCATGCGGTGGAAAGAGACGGGGAAGTAGCGGAGGGTTTTGAAGAAGAGGCGTTTGAGAAGGCGGAATGGGGAGAGAGACGAGAGGAGGGAGAAGAAGGAAGTGGAGCGGTGGTAGAGAGAGAAGTTAAAAGCTTCGAGTTGGGGTGGAATACGCAGTCGTTTCAAGCTTCCAAGGCTACGGCTCATAATACAAACAACTCTCTCCCTCTTTCCTACGTAGGCACGCAAACACTTCTAGAGAGAGAGAGAGAGAGAGAGAGAGAGATGAAGCAAAGCAATTTTACTTCTCCCACTACTACTAAAGTAGTTTAGTAGTAGCAGCAGCAGCAGAGAAGAAAGGGAATGCGGGGCGGTATTTTCCAGAAGGAAGGTTTGGTTGATTGATTGATTGACGATGATGATTTTCCTTAATTGTTCTTTTTTAAAAATAATAAAGAGAAACAGAAATTCTTTTTTGCCACTCCATTTTCTACGAGCTATTTCTGTAAAGGCCAGACGCGAGACCCACTACTGGTGTTGTCCGATGCGGTTCGACTGGGATGGGCTGCGGATGACAGGTGGCGACAAAAATTTGCGATGATGACAGGTATTCGAGCTCGAGCGACTAGTAGACTTCTTACTCGAATTCAAAGAATGATTCGAAAATTCAAAATTGATTTAATTATACTTGATTTTCTTGCGAGTATAATCACAGTGAGCACTTGATTCGACTAAAAGAATAATTTTGATAATTTATACAATTTTTAAGTCTAAAAGAATAAAATTACAATAACTAAATATATAATTTTCAATTAATTACTTTGTATTCAATAAGACTCGACAAGCCATCGAATTTAAAAAAATAATACTCAAACTCGACTTGAATAATTATCGAATTGAGTATAAGTCAAAATTTTGATCGAACTATTCGCGAGCTGCTCAAGAGTAAATCGATTCAATTACATCCCTAACAGCCCTCGTCCCAAGATTACTTACTAACTAGGAACAAGAAGGTCGAAAACAGGTTCCGTTTTCATTACTGATGTTATTATGGAAAATTTTCACAAATTTTGTCTGGTCAATTAGAATTAGAATTCCAACAAGGGTATGTCGTAGCCCGGTACATAAAATTTTCTAGCGATTTTGACCAGGAACGACCCAAAAACTAAAACGAGTCTGATCTTCTTAATTACAAAAAGCAACCCACATCTTGACTGCCTTAGCCTGTCCTAATTTCAAGTCTCATTAGGATAAAATCAATTTATTAGGGACTGCACGGTTACTTGGCAAAAGCGAAAATGAGCAAACCGGCACTGGGGTTGAAAAGTTTTGTTCGGAAAAAAAAGGGCTCTGGAATCGGATTAAGAAAACTTGCGTAAATTATTTCAAGAGTGCTTGTTTCTGTTTCTTTAACTTCACCTTTTTTCTGATGGAAATACACTACAGTATATTGTTCTTTCCTTCTTTCTTTCTTTAGAAACGTGAGAATTGGACAATCTTTCAGCATTATTTACTGTAATAAATAATTAGAAGGCCACTGACATGAACTTCAACCCGTCAAATCAACCACAACACTTTTAACACAACCCGTGGTAGAGGATTCAAGGAGCTTGTATTTGGGAAAACAATTAATATTGAATGACTCAGCTTATTTTGGATGCCAAAGAAATGAGGGGACTTTCTGGATAGCGTATTATTTGGAATAATTACTGTAACATTTTTTTGTGATATGATGTATGTGAGATAAAAAGATGATTGGAAATATAAAAAAAAATGGATTGAAAAAATATGTTTATGATGCAAGCGAAATATTATTTGAGATAAAAGCACTGTTCAAACAAAACTGATCATGCAGTACCATACAATAATCTACTATTAATGATTCAATTTGGTTCCAGAATGTCAAGAATTCACGAATTAAGGGCTACAAACATTCCAAAAATTACTGGCACTATGTTGTAGAGCTGCACATTTGTAAGTCGTACCCCACCCCACCCCACCCCACCCCCCAACCGGGGGGCCGTGTCATATTCCCCACAGGAAGAATGGAGGGATAATAAAGGAATCTTCATCCAGGCGGTCGGATTAATTACGGCCCAATCCGTCCAACATAGTATGGTAATGCAAGTGCAAAAGAGTTATAGTAATAGCCAAAAGAGGTCAATCCACAACATAATGAAGTGAATTCCTGCATGTGGTAGGAAGCATCCTTTTTCGGCCAAAGCATGCATAACTCTCTCAACCATCCCTGTCTCTGTCTGGCTCCATCGCCACAGCAGCCCTTCACCAACAAACTTTTCAAAGGGATAACGAATACCTGACCAATAATTCATTTGCTTATAATTAAGATCTCTTCCCCCTTTCTCTCTCTATATATATATATCGTTGAAATGGGGGAGGGATGCTTGAATCCCAACTAGACAACACCATTCTCTATACATACACAACTTCCTCGATCAAAAAGATCGCAGGTATCATCAGTTGTGAGCCCCAGGCTTCCACCTGCCTCCCTCCTTTTTTTTTTTCTTGGGTTTTAGTATTACACATGGAAAATAAGAAGGTAAGCATCCAACAGAAAACATGACATCCATTTATTCTCAAAGCACTACTTGTAGTACTACAGCATTTTCCTCCTCTTCAGCTTCTTCTATGAAAATTACGTACTTTGTCCATGCACGGCCATTCGTCACCCCGGTGCGAGGTACTATCAAACGCAGAATCTTCTCTTCCCTTTTCCAAAAACTACAGCTAGCTGCCGCCGAATTGCAAGAAACTCTTTGCCCTTGTAACACAGAGACGTCGGGCTCTAGCGCAAGCCCATAGCTCGTTCGACTCCCAGTTCAGCACTTTGTTGTTGATGTTAACCTTGGACTTTCCATCTTTATTTTTAGCTTGTTTTGATGCTTGTCACCAATTAATCCATGGTTTTGATAATTTATGCTCATGTTTCTTCTGGTTATGACCATGTGCTAGATGTGTAGAACGTGGATGAAATTGCCACGGTCTGTACAATAACTGCTTTTGTTGGAAATAAGCAATTATTCTTGAACCCTGCAGTGAATTTATTCTACTACTCTTACCATTCAAATGATAAAGCAGATAACCCCCGTATTTATAACTTTTTTTTTTTTGAGTTGTAATTTATGACTATTTGATATCACTATTGTGATCCTACATGTAACTGTATTTAGCCTGCCTTGCGCAGTGCTCTTTATCTCCGAAACAATTATATCAGGAAATCCAATTTGAAATGCGGCAATATTCTTAGTATGCAGGTAAAGCATAAACTATGTAACCAAAAGAGTTTTAAAACTCCCTTGACCTATGACGAGGTGATTTCTGGATGGACGAACCAAGTCGACAGTACAAGCACACCTGTCAAGATAGAAGCATGAGCGGGGTCTTATCCCTCGATCTAGCTCTGATGCTAAAGTCAATTATGTAAGAAATTACGAGTAAAAGCAAGACTAATTGGACTCGAGTTATGAGCAAGAGCCACACTAAACTGAGTTGGAGTCTATCCCCCCCCCTTCACAAAAAAAAGGAGGAGAATATTTATAGTCAAGAGACCCAAAGGAGGCATGATGGAACCCGCTCCCTGTCACCTGTGGGGCGTTAGTTTAGGGCGGCGGTGTCAGAGATAGGTCGACAGCAGCGGTCATGTCAACCCCGCCTGGCATTAATCAGCTATGCCTGTATATGTCAGACGTCGAGTGATCAAACTTGAGGATATAGCCGAGGAGGGATCATCTTGGAAAGGTGAAGATGAGTTATGAAATAAAGATAAGGAGTCGAGATAATCACCTCGACCTTGAGCATCATAAAGAAGTGAACCACCTCGACACTGAAGAGACGATGAGGGCCGAGGTGAGCACCCACAACCTACATTTTAAGTTCAGACTTTTCTGAAAATTTTGCCTATGCACCCGTCTGAACCAGTTGTAGTTTAGTCTTTTCTAATTTTTCCTTTGATCTTTTTAAATTCACTTCTCTCCCTAATATAAAGTAGGAGTAGATATAGAATAAAATCTATTGTATCCAAAAAAAAAAAAAAAAAAAGGTAAAGCATAAACTACGTGAGTTTTTGCCGATCCACTAAGAATCAGTTGTGATTCTGCAAAGCACCATTGTGAACCTGCCCTACTGTGTGCACGCAACCAACACTAGTATGAACTTCGGAATCAATAGGCTGACCTGTTCTATGATTTCTGGGCTTGGTCCCAATTCAAGTTATTGGAAGTTGCAGTTTGTGGCCCAGACTATCGCGTGGGACAATTTGGGTAAACCATTGATTGGCTTCTTCTCCTGGAAGACTTCGACCAATCCCGCCCATCAATCCCTAACAGCAGGAGTTACAAATCTGACGAATAAAATGGATTTGGGCGAAACTATGTATTAAGGACAGGCCACTGTAATGTAATGTTCCAATTTGTGACGGGCGACCTATGCTAAAGCCCAACTTTACGACATTCCGTCATTTCGACACAAGTTTCTGTTTCCAATTCTAGAGCCTGAATTCGCATCGTCTCCCAGCTGATGCTGAAATACTTGGCCAGCACTCATCGTATATATAGCTATCATAGCATTCATTCATTTTAAAGTTGACTTTGTTGCAAAGCTTACAAAAACTAATTTAATCGATCATGTATTTCCACTTCTTGAAGCTCATCATAAAAATTCAGTATCTTACTTGGGCAATCATACTTTCTTTTTAAGCAGACCGATTAAATTATGAGAACATCTTGCTGGTGTTTATGGCACCCAAAATCCTTCATTAACTACTGGTACAGTAATCTCAACTGAAGATGTAACAAGTCGTACGCTCTTTTCCATTTTGATTAATTGACTAATCAAACTTTCTTGTAATTCTATGGCAAATCTCTCGTTTTAGGTTAGTAGAAAGCTCAAGAACCTGAGATGATATCAAATTTACGTTATGGATTTCCAGACAAGTAGTTTTGCCTTGTTCATATATGCACAGACAGAAGAAAACATCGACGCACTGCAAATCAATTCGTCTGGACACTGTAGCGTAATCTTGACACTTGATTGGGGGCGATCGTGGTTGCTGGCTTGGACGGAGCCCCACCAGTCTCGCAAAAGGTGAATTATGTGTCTGGAAATGCCGAGGTAATATTCATAGGATCCTCCTCAAACATGATGATCTTTCTTCAATAGCTAAAAAAAATCTAAATGAAAATCATGATTCTAGCTCAGTGCATCTCCAATTTCCACCACCTGCTGCTGTAATCATGGCTCCAATTGAAAGTTTTCAAGTATCCAAAGGTTTGTGTACAAGTATGCATCTCCATCACACGCGGGTTGAAATTTTGACCGAGTTACTCAATAGTATAGCGTATAAATTCGGCCATACCGATTTGCCATTGATATCAGTTACATTTAAA